GGACTGGGTGCCCTCCGTGCGCCCCTGCTCTCCCCGATGCGGGCTGTGCGGGACGGCGCTGGCGCACTTGGTGCAGGTGTACTGCCCGCTGGAGGGGTCCCCCTGCCACCGCCTCGCCAACGTCTTCGCCTGTGCCGGGAGGGGCTGCTGGGGAGCACCCGGACTGGGTGCCCTCCGTGCGCCCCTGCTCTCCCCGATGCGGGCTGTGCGGGACGGCGCTGGCGCACTTGGTGCAGGTGTACTGCCCGCTGGAGGGGTCCCCCTGCCACCGCCTCGCCAACGTCTTCGCCTGTGCCGGGAGGGGCTGCTGGGGAGCACCCCGGAGGTGAGCACGGGCCTGGCGATGCTGTGCTGAGCGGGCACAGCTCCACTGCGGCTCAGTCTTCTATTCCTTACTTGTCCTTTTTTTCATACGGCCCGTTGCAGCTGGAAGGTGCTGCGCTCCCACTATCTGCAGACACAGGAAAAGGAAACACAAGGTTACAGCATAAAGCAGGTATCACTCACAAACTGCCTTCCCCTTCTGGTGTCCTCTTTTGTTTCAGTGTGCTGTGTGGAGTGCAATATTGAGGAGGTTTTAAAATAAAAATGCGATAGAGTTGGATGAGTTTCACACTTATGTGTGCTTGTTTAAGTAATCATGACCTTTCTCAAGAAGCTGTGCTATATGCTGGTTTTGAGTCATGTATGTGGTCCTGTGGAGAAGTCACAGACAAGGAATTTTTGATGCTGTGAGTACTACATGTTATTTACAAGACGATTAACTTCTTATTTGTGATCTACATTAAGCCTGTTTTAAGGTGCAATCCAACTTTTTGGTCAAAACTGATACTTAATATTTTAATACTTGAGCTACCTAAACATTATTTTCCAACTTTATTGTAGTGATTGGTGTTTAGGTTTGGAACTTTAAGATGTTTCCTTTGTTTTCTAATTTAAGTAGACTTTTAAAAATTATCATTAGTTTTAATTAATCTGACTCAAATTATTGTTGATATACTTCTGTCTCTTTTACTTGTGAAGAAAAACTGCTTGTTGGCTTATGGAAGACTGGAAGAAGAGGATGCTTATCAGACGAGCAGTGACAGGCATAAAGTGTTTCTTCAGCTGGTGCATGTGCATTGTGAAATTTTGGGTTGTGGTAAATGAGCGTAGGCTGTTAAAATGGTGATTTAAAGAAAAAATTAATAATATTCTTCCATATGCTCTTTGAGCTTACGTATGATGCAGTAACTGTGTTTTAGATAAAGGTACCAAAATTATCTGCGGATGGCTGTGCCAGCAGCCTAGGTACGGCAACATGATGTTGAAATCCAGTGAGTTCCTGTTCTGTCTCTCCAGTGTGAGATGTTTTTTGCCATAACTGTGCTGCTGAGAAAAGTAAACGTGGCTGTGCTGGCAACTACCGCTCTAAGGAGAACAGGCAAAATAACACTAAGCACTAGGTTAAGGTTTTAGTCCTTTTATGTGTTGCACTCATGAAACTATTAGAAGTGCGTTAGGATGGGTGATCTTCACAGCGTTCTTTGTTGTTGTTTTTTGTTGCTGTTATTCTTCTCAGAAACAAGAATCGAACTTTGCTGCAAAGGATTGGTGTGATGAAGCAGATGACTGGGGACTCTGTGATGGAGCAGAATCTCTTGCATCTGCCTCCCTTCAGCTGCTTGGCTTAAATGAAACTGTGAGCAGCTCCTTGTCCAGAGAGATGGAGTGTGCATCCCAGTTCCAACAGCTTCACTTGTCTGAAGCTATGAACACGTCGAGTTCCCTGAATACTCATCCTCCAGCCAGTGAGGGAATGGTAATGGCAACAGATAATTCAGCTCCTGTGTTCCAGCCCTTTTACATTAGCGTTGTGGATGAGGAAGACTGCATTGGTTTCCTTGATACAGATCACGCGGATAAGCTATTGAAGGAGTATCAGCAGAGAGAGGGTGTAGATTTGGAACAGTTGATGTCGGAAAGGTGAGAACAGGTCTGGATTTCATGCTTAATTGTGTAGAGATTGCATAGTTTCCTGTGTAGTAATAGTCTAAATCTGACTGTCACTACATCTGGATGCTTTTTGTTCATAACTTGCTCCTTCAGGAATCATTGGTGTATAAACTTTGCTGGAAGAACATAACAACCTGCCCAGTTTAATCAAATTCTGGAATTCTGAGTTACTCAGACATGCATCTTTTTCTGAGTGAGCAGCTGGAACTTCGTTGGGCTCCAGATAAAGCAGTGGACGTTCAACCTCTGAAACTAAACCAATGCGATTTAAACAACATCTTATGCTAAATGGCATGAGTTTATATTGTCATATTTGACTTTTTTCTTTTCAGGGCTATTGTTTACCTTGTATTCCAATTGCATTTTTAAGAGTTTAATTACTTAGGAATTTTGACTAGAGACTGGGATGATGGTAACAGATAGACTCCTGGAGACTTTAATGTTGTCTGCGAAACAAGTTTTGAACATAGCTACTGAAAATATTTTCAATACTAACCTAGGTGATCACAGCCACCTCTTCCATCCTGACCATTTCTCTTTTGATGGTATTAATATGTATGGTAACTTCTCCTGAATTGTGGACAACATTACATTTTTTTGATAACTAAAGCTACTGTCAGTTGCAGAATCTGCATAGAATGCTTTTTAGTAGTGGTGGTCCTGTTGAGTTTTACCAATGTTTATAGAGTCAGAGAACTTTAATTACACTTGATTCAAAAGTTTTGAATTTAAAAGCTAGAAAGACTTACTAAAGGAATGTTTCGGGTTTTTTTCAGGCATAAGCAGATGTCTGGTGGATTTTAATCTCATGTGGTAGTTTGAAACACTGTTCATAATTTTAAGCCACCAGAAATGGAAGAACTAGAAGCAAAATGTTTACTTACAACCTCTAACAGGAATTGCCTCTTAATTTAACATGTATAGGGTTTTTTTTTTCAGTGTACTTAGTATAATTTAATATGAATGCATAGTAACCATTGCTTATTTAAAGCATGCATCTCATACTGAAAAGCTCATTGGAAATTTTGTTCCTTTTTCTTGTTTCCTTATAGTTTTCCAGGTGAAGGTGATAATGAAAAATATGAGAAGAGTGAAGTCAAAAGCAGGGATCGTACGTTTCATAAATTTATGAAAAGAATATCTGTGTGCCAAGAACAGATTCTAAGGTATATTGTTCATCTGGTTCTAAGAGGGAGATGCAGAGCATAGCAGAGCTTGGTAGTACATAAAAAAATTATTTCTTTGGAAATATACATCTGTTTTTGTTTTTTAATTAAAAAAAATCTGAAAGGGCTGTTGCCATACCTGTGTGGTCAGACTTCAGTCTCTAGTTGGTCTTTTTTTATACAAAGTGTAAGTGGATGAGAAACAATCAGGATCTGAGACCCTAAATCTGGCTGTGGGAGACTTTCTTCAACAGAAAACCTGATGAGAACAGACCCAGACTATCTTTGAAGAGAGGTTATCAAGAGGCAGTTTTGAGCTGGATGTGTAATACTCAGTGGTGTGCTGTTGTGATGTATTTCCAAGGCTATCTGCTCCTCTGAAATTTCTGAATTCTGTAATTTTGTCCTGGAGATGTTACTAGAGTAAGAAATGGTTTTAAAGCCCAAGTTCTTCTGCAGCTTATTTTAATAACCCCTCAGGACTCTACAGTCTTCAGTTCTCATAAATCAGTTGGTTTTTTCTAAAACAAAAGCAGATTTAACCTCATAGCAGCTACTTTCCCAAAAGAGGAGTTAATTCTGAATGAAAGTATAACAAAGAGTTCAAATCATATTTTTTTTCAGTTACCAGGTCATACGCATGGTTGTTGTGGATCATACCAAGTGTTTGTAACCTCTTTGTTCCAGAGAGACCATGCAGCCTGTCTGGTCAAGCTGTCTCAGTGCAGTGACAGGGCCTTTGTTTATCAGGTTTCCAGAACCAGGTTGAACCAACTGGTACTTTTTTACAGTAGTTCTTGTAAATAAAGCTTCGGTTCTGTGACATAACTACAGTTGTTGTGAGACCTATTCTATGGTGAAAATATTTCACTGCCACTGGTGAAGAGTCCATTTTTCAGGAAAGTGTAGTTCAGTTATTTAAATGAGTCAGGTACAGCGTATTTTGGAGGTGTCAATTCAAAGTATTTATCTCCTTTAAATCTAGCTCTTTCCTTAAGACTTTCCAAGTGTTGACCTTCCAAATATTTTCCCCTCCCCATCTTTATTCTTTGTTTAATCACTCCTCTGAAACGTAGGCAATGATTCTGGCTCATAACAGTGTTTTTTACTTAAGCAAGTTGAGAGGTTTCAGAGAATCCTGAATACTGCTGCCAACATGTATGTTTTCCTATGAAATCTAGATAGAAAAAATGAATATTTTTTTTCCTTTCTTCTCTTAGATACTCTAGGGGTGGCCAGCCTTTATTCATAACGTGTCCTCCAGCGAACATTGACCAAGGTATTCCAGCCTGCAGTAACTGTGGAAGCAACAGAATATTTGAATTTCAACTCATGCCAGCGCTGGTCAGCATGCTCCAGAGTGATTCAGGTGTTCACCTTTGGCTTAGCTGAATGAATACTAGAAACAGTCACCTTCTGGGTAGAGTTTAGTGAACTGCAATTTAGATTGTTTCTCACTAACCACACGTACTGATGTGCTTAACTACAGTGATCATCTTGCATAGCATCCACTCTGTCTCCATCATAGATTTATTTCACTGAGCAAAGGATATAACTGGTTTGTGAAGACACTGTGATTGCAGCTTCATTTGCTCACTAGTGAACTTTAATAACAGAGATGTATATAATTCTGGGACCTTGGGAGTTATTTGTCTTTATGACCTCTTAAATGAGGCCTTGGAAAATAGTAACTACTGTCAGATAGGATTGCAGACACTTAAGAAGCTCTTTGAAAATTCCAAGTCAGCTTGCTTTAAAGTCTTTAAAATTAGAGAATATTATGTATGTAGGAGACTGAATATGAAAAATACTTCCTGAATTGGCAAAGTTTGAAGTAAAGCAATAAGCAATAGCCTCTGATTATGTAATTTTTCACACCTTTATTGTTTTGTTTTTAGATCTGTCAGTGGAATTTGGGACTGCTATAGTTTACACATGTGAGAGAAGCTGTTGGTCAACAAATCATCAAACCCCGCTTGAAGAATTTATTTTTGTACAAGAAGACCCAGATCAGAGATTATTTAAATAAATTGTATTTCTCCGCATAGATGGAAGTCTGTTGCTTTTGGTTTTTTCCTACTCCAGGTGAAAGTGTGTGATGATGCAACAGAATTTTTCACAGATGTGGTGAAAACCAAAATTCATTTGAAGACATGGTGCTTATTTCCAGTAATAACTGATTGAAGTATATATTAGCATGCCTGTGTCACTTCTGTGCTGACAGAAAACTCGCATACTTTGGTTACACATGGAAATCTAAGTGTAGAGATTGTTTCATGATTCTTGTTACACTTAACATTTGGGGAGGAAAGTAAAGTAGAAAGATTGTCCTGTTGCAGTTAGTTATACCATTAGCATTCATCAGCCAAACAGGATCCAGATTTTAGAAACTATTAGCAGAGAAGTACTTGGTGTAAGCTTGATTTTAATAAATAAACCTCCTTTGTTTTGACCACACATTAAAGATACAGCAGGCACTGGGAGGGGCCTTGCTGTCATTACAACTTCCTATGATGAAGCTTTTCTATGTTTTTCCAATGAAGGATGGGTGATGTTTGCGTTGCTTTGGGTGGGTAAAAGGTGGAGGTTTTTGTTAGCTCTTTTGTTCTCACAGGTACAGAATGAAGGGGTAGGTACAGCACCTGTGTTGTCACTGCAGTCTGGTGCTTGCAGGCTGATGTGCTGCTTTAGTTAAAACTCTTTAAATTCTTCTGTGGTGTTCCCTGTTGGTTTAACTAAATTGCGGTGTTTTAATTTACTTAATGGAGGAGTAATTTAAGAAAGTGTCCTTAAAGCATTTTGTACAGCATAAATTAATGGACTAAATGTTAGTTTTAAAAAAAGGAAAAAAGGGGTGGTAGGGGGCTAAAATGGTGGAATCTAAGGAAGATTTGTAGCTTACCACATCATGTTCTAGAGGCGAGTCAGCTAACCGATGCTAACATTTATAAAAATCTCATCTTACACCTTGAATACTGCCCATGCTCCCCAGGGGTGCTGGGCCTGCTTTTTTCCCCAGCTATAGCGGTTAGCTCAGAGTGTGCAGTTTGTGGGCCAAGCCCTGGCTGCAGCAGACAAGCGGGGCCCGCCTTTCCCGGGAGGCCCTGCCTCCGGTGCCGGGCCGTAGTGAGTTCCCAGCCGCGGCGGCCTGCGGGCCCGTGCGGCAGCGGGGTTCGAACCGGAGCCTCCGTGCGCCCCGTCCCGGCCAGAGCCTGGCCCCGCTACAGTCTTCGTGGTCCGTGTGCGGGAGAGGCCCGCGGCCCTCCCCTCCGAC